ATATAATAAAAGTGTGGGACAGGGTGATGGAACGCCTATTGCGAGATACAACAGAGGTGTCAGAGAATCAATTTGGGTTTATGCCTGGTAGGTCAACAATTGAAGCGATTTATCTTTTGAGGAGAGTAATAGAAAAGTATAGAGAAAAGAAAAGAAACATTCGTATGGTGTTCATCGACCTTGAGAAAGCATATGATAGAGTGCCCCGAGATATAATATGGTGGGTGTTAGAGAAGAAAGGAGTGACAAAAGGTTACATTGATGTGATTAGGGACATGTATAAAGGGGTGGTGACCACTATTAGATTGCCTGCTGGAGAGACAAATGAATTTCCTATCACCGTTGGGTTACACCAAGGATCTATCTTAAGCCCTTATCTTTTTGCTTTAGTTATGGATGAGTTGACGAGAAATATTCAAGATGACGTGCCATGGTGTATGCTTTTTGCAGACGATATCGTGCTAGTGTATGAGACTAGAGAAGGAGTTAACACAAAGTTGGAGATTTGGAGAAAATCTCTTGAATCGAAAGGATTCCGGATAAGCAGAACTAAGACAGAGTACATGGAGTGTAAATTTAGTAATAGTAACAATGAAAGCAGAGGAGAAGTGAAGATTGAGAACCAAGAACTGCTTAAGAGTGAATATTTTCGTTATTCAGGGTCAATTATCACAACAGCTGTAACGCCCTCAAAATAATAACATTAAACCCATCAATATAGACATGAATTGATAATAAAGACAAACATTCTTCTATTCATCAGAGTAGTAGTTTCTTACAAAAGTATTACATGTTAACAACAAAAGCAAATGCCCTACGGGCTTACAACTTTCCAAGTTAATACTTGGTTACAACAAAAGAGTGCTAACTCATTTACACATTAAGCCCTTGGCTTGAATATACATGTAATACATCAAAGAAAGTAAAACGACAAAAAAATCCGCCTGCCTCTAGCCTCCCAAGCTACGTCCTTGGAGGTGGCATGCTACCTGTACCTGAAAATGATATTCCCATATAGGGTGAGCCACAGCCCAGCAGAAATACACTAAACCAACCATGAACAATGACTAAAAGATTAGCAATTGATAGATGGCCAACACTGATACATCCACATAAATCACATTTTATGCCGTACGACTTATGAGTCCAAGTTACTTTTCATTTTCCCTTTTTCAACAGATAAGCATATTAGCTTTATCATCATCATCTCAACAGATATGTATAACAACTATATCCCACATTTACAGGTAAGCATATAAGCTATATCCATATTCTCAACAGATATGTATAACAACTATATCCCACATTCACTGATAAGCATATAAGTTGTATCTACACTTCACAAAGATAAGCATAAGAGCTTCATCTTCACTTCTCTAGACAAGCATATGAGCTATATCTACGGAGTTCATCCCCTATCTTCTCCCAACACTATCCGGTTTAGAGGTACATCCCCCATATTCCCCTAAACCGCGGAGTACATCCCCCATCTCCTCCTCTACACATAACGTATACAAACACATTGGTTCCATATACCATCATTCAATACATACAGTTAATGTATTCTATCAACCGTCAAATTTCATGATACATTCCATTGATTAGTTTTCGTTTGCCTAATCATCATGCATTGTCTACAACAATCACGACTATCCTCCACCGATAGCCCAAAGCAATTATTTCTAAACAGAAAATAAATGCACAAATGGATATTCAATCAACATTTCATTTCGGTGAGTGATAAATAATTCAACTACACCTTTTAACTCCATACATTCCCAATCTCAACATTCCCATTTCATAACCTCATTTCTCACGATTAATTAACCCAATCAATCAAACAATGTAATTAGGGCATTTTCCATAATTAACATTACAACCCTTAAGGTCCCATTTTCAACAATGATTCAACATTTATTCCATTTCTCTATGCCAAACATGCATCTAGGTTTATTATAAATAAAACCCCAACCTTTGTAAAATAACACAAAAGCCCCAAATTTTCACAAAATTACCAAACCAACCCCAACATCTCAAAATACTAAAATTTAAAGACAAAATCCATAGAGAGGAGTAGGATATCCCTACCTCAAATTCGGAGCCCCAAGGGAGAAGATGACAAAACCCAACGTGCTCCAAATCCCGAAATTTTCAGATTAAAGTGTAGCCCTCGACGATCAACAACTTTTTTGTAAAGGCCAAAGATGAGCAAATCACTCCTACTAGATCAAAACCTAGAGAGAAGGTAGAGTTCTAGAGTAAGAGGCTCAACAATGGTGTTTTTGGAAAAGTATGAGAGAGAAGAGAAAGTGAAAAAGTGAGTTGAAAAGTCAAAACTCGGAACTTAAACCCAGTCGCCCCGCTCGAGCGTCAAACTCCTCGCTCGAGCGTCACTCACAAACTCCCGCTCGAGCTTCAACCATCCCGCTCGAGCGGCGGATGCACACTCCCAGAACTTTTACAGAACTAGGTCTCCGCTCGAGCGTCAACTCTCCTGCTCGAGCGTCACACACAGAACCCAGCTCGAGCGGCCAATCCCACGCTCGAGCTTCCAACACTGCACAGGAAATACTGGATGGGTACAATTCCCGCTCGAGCGCCAAAACCCCCGCTCGAGCGGACAGGTCAAAATCTGGGCAACTAGTTTTGGTTTCTAAACTCAACCAACCTGTAACAAACCTGCCCAACACATCCTATAACTCAAATACAAAGTAAGAAAGGATGTACACCAGGTAATAATCAACTACTAACATCCACGGACACATGTCCGGATCACTGTACAACAAGGGTAAATCCGGGATCGCTATAACAGCGGGGGACATTGATGCGGATGTGGCCCACAGGATTAAGGCGGGATGGTGTAAGTGAAGAAGTGGTCGGGTACTGTGTGATAAACGAATACCCACTAGACTAAAAGGTAAGTTCTATAGAATGACTATTAGACCAGCGATGTTGTATGGGACGAAGTGCTGGGCAACCAAGAAACAACATGTAGATAAGATGAGTGTGGCTGAGATGATGATGCTAAGGTGGATGTGTGGTAAGACTAGACAAGACAGAATTAGGAATGAGTGTATTCGGGAATGGGTAGGAGTAGCACCGATAGAAGACAAGTTGAGAGAGAATCAATTGAGATGGTTTGGTCACATTCAACGGAGACCAACAGAGGCAGTAGTGAAGAGATGCGATGTTGTATCAGTAGAGGGGAGTGTTAAGGGACGAGGTAGGCCTAGATTAACGTTGGCTAACGTTGTAAATAGAGATATGGATCTACTTAATTTGACTAACGAAATGACCTTTGATAAGGTCGCGTGGAGAAGAATGATTCATGTAGTCGACCCCATTTGATGGGACTCAAGGCTTGGTTTGGTTTGGTTTGGTTTGGTTTCTATTCTTTGCTTATGCTACACTGCAATATAAAATTCATTATTTAGACTTTAATTTTGAAGTTTGTTATTTAAAATTTATGAATGTTTTTGCCAGTTTACTGTGTAGAAACAATTTCAACTTCTTATTTGTGAAGTATTAAACTGGAGTGATATATTATTTTAAATTGATTTATTACAATTGAATTCTGTAACATGTGTGGTACCAAAACAATTATTGACCGTGCCTTCAGGCACGGGTTATCCCTAGCATATATATATATATATAATGGTTTCTTTTATTAAAGATGTTAAAAGTAATTTTTTTAACTTTTAACCTCTTTTGAATTATTTTTTTTAAATTTTTTTACACGTTTTTATAAAAAAAATTAAAAAAATTAAGTAGCGTTTAATAGAGTTTTAGAATTATAATTTGAAAATAGAGTTACATTTTGAATTTGTGAGTTTTGGAATTATGATTTGAAAAAAGAAAATTTGTTTGGTTATGAGTTTTGAAAAGAGTTTTGAATTTTTGATGTGACATATGAAATGAGAAAAGTTGTTTGATTATGAATTTTAAAAAGAGTTTTCAAAACTTAATTCAAAACTTATAACTCATAACCAAACACACAACTCAAAACTCTATTGAAAATTCTATTTAAAACTCATAATCAAACTCTTTTTAAAATTCAATTCAAAAAAATAATTTCTCATTTTGGTCTAAAAAAATAATTTTTATATTTAAAAAATATCAAAAACATATATATATATATATATATACACACATTTCCAAATAACAAATAACGTGTGGCAATTTGCAATTGTCAAAAAAAAAAAAAAACAAACAAAAGAGTTGTTCCGGTCAACAGACCGAACATCCAGGAGGATGTCGGAGGGACAACCGGATAGATCTAAAAATTCAAAAACTATACGAGAGGATGTCTGGGCAAATGATCGGATAGATCAAAAACTCAAAAACTGTCTGATTTACGAAACATGTTTTCAAAATGTGTTTTGAAATTAATTTAGAATCATGATTTGAAAACCTCAACCAAACATAGCATTCAAATGTAATGGTAGAATTAATTAGAGAAAGCTCTACCAAACAAAGCGTAGTTTTTAATCTACTTCTTAAAATAACTTGAAACCAAAATAAATAAATAAATAAATTTATTACATCAAAAACTTATAATTTATTTGTAAGATTATACTATCATTAATTTATTATTATCTAATCACATCATATCATTACTCTAATAATTTAGTGAGTTAAATGGAGAGATTATTGGGTGGTCTAAGAGTATTGCTCTACACCATTAGATACTTGACACTTGTTTTGCTAACCTAATCAAAAGTATTGAGTCTCATAATTTCAACCAAGTATACAGAGTGAAGTTCCATAATTTCAATCAATCATATTAAGTTAGCCACCATATAATAATGCACCCGTACATAATTTTTGGAGTTAAATGTATATTACATCATAATTTCAAACACTTTTAAAATTAGGGATCATGAAAATTTTGTCATGAAAATGATCATGAAAAATTTATAATTCTTAGATTATCTTAATTAGTATGTAGTGTTTTATTTTAAGTATATCCAAGAGTTACAAAACTTTCATAATTATTTTCATAAAATTTTTTTCATAATAGTTAATATTGTGGATACTTTTAGGAGATACAAGCCGTGGACTCTCTATAAAAGATTGGTTCATCAAGAAGGAAAAACAAAAGGAACCAAAATAACAAACCTTATAAAAAAATGAAAAACAAATCAGAGCTTGTGTTCATGCCAGCCCAAGGAATGGGCCACATTGTATCCATGGTAGAGTTTGCCAAACGCCAACACGATCAACACCAACGCTTCTCTATCACAATCCTCCTCGTCAAGCCATTCCACCCTCCCTCCTACAATCTCTACGTTGAATCACTCGCCGTCTCCGACACCGGATTCCGCTACGTCCACCTCCCTCCTCCACTACCTTTGCCACCGCCACCGCAACCGCAACTGCAACCGCCTCCCGAACAACTAGTCCTCACGTCTCCGGAGAAAAATTTCTCTGATTTTCTGGAAAGTTATAAGCATCATGTGAGAGACGCAATCGTCAACCACGTGTTGTCTTCTTCTCCAGCGACGACGAGGCTAGCTGGGTTGGTGGTAGACTTCTTCTACACCCCCACGATCGACATTGCCGACGCCGCCCTTACTTTCCTCTTCTTCCCTTCCGGCGCCGCCTTTCTCGGCCTCATGCTCCACCTCCCAATCCGCCATACCGAGCTCACTGTCTCTGATCCAAACTCGGTCACGCACTTCCCGAGTTATGCTAACCCTGTCCCTACCTCGGTCCTACCCGCCTTTCTATTTAACAAGCACGGCGGCTACACCTGCCTTCTCAACCACGCTAGAAGGTTCAGAGAGAAAAAGGGCATAATCGTCAATACCTTCAAAGAGCTCGAATCCTGTGCGGTGAAGTCTCTTGTAGACTCGACGGAATCGCCGCCAGTTTACGCCGTCGGACCGTTGCAAGACCTCGCCGGCGATGCCCGATCGGGGAGCGATCGAGAAGAGATCGTGAAATGGCTCGACGAACAACCTCCATCGTCGGTGCCGTTTCTCTGCTTCGGAAGCCTAGGGTCCTTCGGTCCGCCGCAGGTAGCGGAGATCGCGGCGGCAGTGGAGAAGAGCGGCCACCGGTTCTTGTGGTCCATACGACGGCCGCCGCCGCAAGGCGTGTTCGAGACGCCGACCGATTGTGGCGGTGATTACGACGGATTTTTGCCTGAAGGGTTTCTGAAACGGATGGAAAACAGGGGAATGGTGTGCGGGTGGGCGCCGCAAACAACGGTGCTGGGGCACGCGGCGGTGGGAGGGTTTGTGTCGCACTGCGGGTGGAACTCGATCTTGGAGAGCTTGTGGGTTGGTGTTCCGATCGTGACGTGGGCAATGTATGCAGAGCAATTATCACGGAAGGTTGGTTAGAATTTTGCCAGTGAAAATTTTATTTGTTACTCAATTTCGCCTTATATTTGTATCATCAATTTGACTAATTGTCATTTTTAATGAAATGTATTATACCATTCAACAAAATATAGCTAAATTATTTTTGACAACATTCAATTTAACACAAAAAATTACTAATTATAATTATTTATTGTCCCTGGATACCATCAAATTAAGCCAATCACCTATACAATTATTTTTATATACTCACATATATGATATTTGATCAAAACTAAAAATGAATTGATGTCAATAGGAAATCTCATTCAAAAGCTTATATCAATCTTTTCTAGATCTACTTAACATCATAGGCTTGAAAAAAATCAGATTCATGTGGAACTAAAGGAATAATAAATATAATATATATATATATATATATGTTTTAATAAAGTTAAAAACTAAGGAACGTATATTAGATTTTCAGACAATATCATAATTTACATCTATTTATTTCTATTCAACGACCAGTCCGTTAGTTTCTTGATCCCACCATGTATTCCTTTTTTATTTGCTTATATCCAGAAAAATTGTTATCCTACAAATGTAGTTTTGACCCTTGATGTTTTGAATTTTGTTTATGTTTCGAATTTAATATTTTGTATTTTTAATTTTGAAATCCTAATTTTATTTATTTTTTCCTGATCTAGATAGCTTATTTACTTCCTCCAACACTACCTCCCAACAAGATTGATCAAAATCAAAATTAAAATTATAAATGCTCCAAAACCAGTTTAACTCATTTGTCAGTTGAACTATTTAAGCACTCATATGCATCTCACTAGGCACGAGATGAGCCAGTGGAAGTCATAGAAACTGCTCAACTCATAAAATGACACTTAGTAACTTTTTGGCTATTTGGGAACAAGCTAATTTAGTAACTTTGGGAACAAGCTAATTTAGTAACTTTTTTGGCTATTTGGCTAAAATATGAGCTAAAAAAACTAGTATGTTTGGGATAACTTTTTGGCTTTTTACGAAAAGATGTGCAAAAAGTAGAGAGAAAATAGAATCTTTGACTTTTTGGTATGGGTTGTTGGCTTTTTGGCTAATTTAGTAACTTTTTGACTTTTTGGCTAAAAGGGAGAGTTCCCAAACGAGGCCTTAGTCGTGTTTAGATTAATACATTTGAAATAAAAGGTAATGGATATTAATTATTTAAGAACAACAACTCAAATTTATATATTGATAGTTTAGATGTGAATTTTAAAATATAATAAGTCAGTTTTTAGATTTGTCATTATTCTAACTTAAACAACGATACCAAATTCAAACACTTTGTAAGTCTAGCACAATTAGATGAAAAATTATATAGCGATTTTGGGACAAATCTATATGATATTCTAATATAATTTTTATTAATTGAAATAGTTAGTGTTCATAATTTTGTATTAATTTTCAAGAGACACTATAACAATGTTATGTGATGAATAAAATCATCAAATAAACTCACTATGACCTTTTGTGTGAGTGAATTTCTGACCACACTGCCAACTCAGTATTCAGCCGAAAAGCACCGGCAGAATAGATGGTGCCTGAATAACTTGCAACAGAAAGAAGAGACTCCAGTGGTGGTTCGTCCACCCGGGGGCACTCCGATGATTAAATCAATAATCTAATATCTCTCAAAGATAATCAATGGTGCTTTATTCGCTGTTCTGAATATAAATTGCGTACCTTAAACCCATGAGGGTGCCTCTCTTTTATAGTTAACTCAATCATTGTCCCAACAGAAGCCTTGCTTCTATGGACTTTAGCTCAATGCTTATCTTGGACTCTTCAACAGATAAAGATAAGGAAAATATCTCGTAGCTCAAATTTTGTGGCTCAAAAGTGACTCAAATGGCTAAAACGACGTCGTTTTGGCCATTTTTATGTTGTTCTGTACTCAAAACGACTCAAATGGCTAAAACGACGTCGTTTTGGCCATTTTTATGTTGTTCTGTACTCAAAACGACGTCGTTTTGGCCATTTGAGCCACTTTTGCGCCACAAAATTTGAGCTACGTAGCATTGTCGTAAAGATAAACTCCCTAAGAGTGTTATCTTTATCCATGCTGAAGTCCTTCCTCATTCTAGGACTCTTGCGCCTTATCCGATTATCCCGGATTCCGATATCTTCGGAGATAACCTCGGCCTAACCGAGATCACCTCGGCACCATGACCAGGACACGTGGCACCTCGGCTGACACGTTGGCGTCACCTTGACCACGTTTTTGGTACTCTAAAAATGTATCCCCACAACTGCTCTGCCCCCTAGGTTCTATTACATCGGCATTCTGAGGTGATGGAACCTATATTAGAACTCGATTTCTAGTACGTCAGCTTAAAATTGTTCAGCCAAGATCATTATAAAGGCCGACATGTCCTTTTTTAAAGACACAAGAATTCCATGAGTTCCTTCACGCGTATGAGCTGTTATGCACAATAGCTCAACCGTTTCAGCCACGTGTCTTCCTCTTACTGGATCGTACTCGATACGCGTTTGTAAATCATCTCGCGCCGTCTGACAAATCCGTCATTCTAGGCTCATAAATTCCTTTTTGCCGCCTTTTCGCGTTTTGGACAAAACCAATGTCCTCTCTCTTCGTCTCTTCACTTTACATCGTTTCTGAAGCTCTCTCTCTCTCTCTCTCTCGAGCTTTCTCAAATCCTCCAATGTTTCCAAGCTTTCAAACTCTGCTACCACCGTCGTTCACTTTCTTTGGCGAGGCTTTTGCTAATCTTTTCCGCTGCTGCCGTTCGTCTGACTTCGGCGAACTTAACACCGGCTTCTTTTCTTCGGTGAGTTACTGTTTCTACCTGATTTAACTTCTTGTTTCAATTTTTTGTTTTACTTTACTGATCTCTACTGCTCTACCTCTGCAATCTTTATTCATATCTTTAATATTTCAACTTGTATCTTGTTTTCCACCACATGTTTGTTTCACGATTCTGTTTTTGCCCCATTCGTTTCTTGAATACACACTGTTCACACACTTGTTGTTTGTTGCCACTGTTCTTGGCCTGACATACCTGTGAAAACTTTGTGTTTCTTGATGACCCATCACTGTTCTTGACTCTGAATCACATTCTTGTTTCTGTTTGCCATGTTTTTTTCCAGATTCATGCCTTCAATCTTCATCTCTATAGACATAGGTTTGGGATTTGTTTGTAGAACCCTTCGATTCTTAGGAAGAACCGAAACGATCCCCACAAATTCTTACCCGAGCACACACTTTGGTTTTTACCGAGGTCCTAGTAACCCTTTCAAAACACCTTTTTTCTGAAATCCAGCTCTTCTAACTTAGGCCGACGTTATGGGTATGTCGAAGCATATGATAGATACCCCGACCAAGTTAGAGCACTTTAGGCTTGAGTTCGATATCCCGGCCGACGTTCATATGAGGTTGGCTGGGGAGGATAACTCTATCATGCCAACAACTGATTCCATGCCCTTTCTTGTCGTAGCTTTTATCGAGTGTGGACTTCGGCTCCCACTCAATATCCTTTTTCGCGAGATACTTCATTACTATAAGTTGAACCCCATGCAACTTGCCATCAATTCCTACCGAATTATAAACGATATTATAACCTTAGCCAAACAAGAAAATGCTAGAGTTACGTTAGCCGACATCCAATATTGCTACACCAAGTGTGGCCTCAAAAAAGATACAGTCTATGTTTACTACCTCAAGCCGAGGTCTACGGAGTACAAAATTGTTGCCGACCTCCTTGACTCCAACAAGGGAGCTGGGGATGGTTATTTCATTACCTCGGGAAATTGGGAGTTCGCTTCAGATGAGGACCTCCACCTCTACTCTCTTCCTCGAACAGTTTTTGTAAAGGGTAATGTTAAGAACCCTGTGTTCATACTTACTTGTTTTTAATGTCTTCAATACTTTGTTTATTCTAATGTCTGTTTTTTCTTGCAGTTCTTTCAAAACCAGAAAAAGGCTTCCGTAAGTCTTTTTACCCTAGCAAGGGTCTAAAGAAGCTACTGGACCTACCAGTCCACAAGTGTAGACCTCCTCTGGTACTCAATTTCATTCCCACCTACGAATTAGTACTCCCCGATATTCCAAAAAAGAAGAAAAAGAGTCTATCTCCCCCTTCTGCCACAACTCCTGAAGCTGCCTCCACATCTCGGCCAAATCAAGGATCAACTTCTGATCCAGCAGAGCAGCCGCCAACCTCAGCTCCATATCTGATCCCGCCATCTCAACGACAACATCGGCAACGAACTGTTTTTTTCACCGAGATGGGCCGCCAGAAAGCAGTTGCCAAAGATCTCTTAGCCAGCATTCCATCCACTATTGACGCTCAACCAGCGCAAACCCAGCCTCCACCGAAGCCGAAAAGAATAAAGAAGGCTCAGCCAAAGGCAAAGGTGACTCAGATTGACACTGCGGATACGTTCCCAATCTCGAAATTGGCTTTGAGCAAAAAAACCACCTCCGTCCTAGAGAAGAGGTCTGCCGAGGCCGAACCATCGTAATCAACTCGGTATAAGAGGCCGAGGTCAGAGCCTGCCTCAACGTCAGGCTCCATGAAGGCTGGTGCCCCCTGCGCTCCACCTATTACTCTGGAGGACAAGCCAGTTTTTGTTGAAGATAGTGTTGACGACATTCATGTCGGTGTCACTCTTAGTACGGCTTTGCTTCTCCCTGGCGAACTTGACCGGAACGCCGAGATGAATGAGCATGAGAACTTCACCTTGATGCTCCATCGTTCTGTTCAAGTGAGTCTTTATACTAGGTGTCTTTCTTTCTTTTTTGTACTTAGAAAATTTTAAAATGACTTCTGCTCTGTTCTTTTTTAGGCCATCCAGCATGCTCATTCCTTCTCAATACAAGCCTTTGAGAACCGGATGGAGCTGGCCGACAAGAGGAAGGAGGTCTCCAGTCTGCAAAAGGCCAACAAAAACTTACAATAAAAAATGAAGACTCTGGCAGACCAAGCCGAGGCTGCTGTCAAAGCCAAGGATGTTACTGA